TTACTGAAGACTTGCTTCTGACCCATCACAGCGCCAGAGCCTAGCAATCCCTGCTACTTTTGGCACAGACGGAGGGCTGGTGGGAATCACCTTTGAAAATTCTGTCCTGGACTCCAAACTCTTCTGATGTTGACATTGCTTTACTCACCTTTTGAGAGGTAAGAATAGCTACAAAATAAGAAACACTCTCTTCTTTGGAGGCTTTTACAGACTTCCCAACTATATCTCATGGAATGAAAGTAAACTTGTAAAGTTCTAACCTCCCAACAATTTAGTAAATCCTAAATCCTAACAATTCAGTAAAAAAAGTGAGAAAGTTAAATACTGTATAAACATGTCATCATAGTAGTCCTGCACCAAATATTGACTGTTTTTTTTCCAAATAAATGTATTTCAGACATAAGTAGTGGATTAGGTTGGTTAGTTGAAGGAACATAAATGAATTCACAGGTGAAGTTACTCCGCAGGGAAGATAAGGCATGACAGCATATTTCCTCCAGTCCGATTCATCTTGGGTCACTCGAGTGTAATTTTAAATTTCTTTTATTCAAACAGGGTGACTACCCAGCAGAATCGCAAAATTCTATCTGTACATATGGAAGGGCAAATTCTGGAATTAAGGGGGTTTCTGAGGGTTTGGTAGGTTGTTTTTTTTTTTGTTGTTTTTTTAAACACAAGGACTGACGTGAAGTGCGTTCAGTAAGGGTTGTAGAAGCTGGGATCCACCTCTCCTTCCCTCACAGCTAAACACTTCATTGCATAAATCTGCTTCACAAATTTAGCACAGGTTTTGGGGGTTTGGTTTTGTGGTGGGGTTTTTTTCCTTTCGCTTTTTTTTTGGAGGGGGGAAGATGGACAAGTTGGATAGTTATGTTTGGCTTTAAATACATCAGATATATTCCAATGGTTTTGTGCAAAAAAATTTGCTTCATCACCTTTTCCGGTATCAGTGCGCTAATCCAGCAACTTGCCAACTGCTGAGACATATGTCACAGTGAAATTCCTAGCAAACAGGTGTTTGCTGGTATTTTCAACTGGCATCAGGATCAGACACTATCGATAGCCAGAAAGAACAGAGATTTTGAAGCCCTTCTGTTGTTGTGTTCCTGTATTAGAAGCATTAACTACAGTAATGCCTAAGTAGCATCTAGGAAAAATAAGGTTTATTGCAGTACATGCTGAACATTAAAATTACATCTATGTTAGCAAGTAGTGTGGACCAACTGGAGCACATCTGTAGAAGTGTTGGTGCCAAGGACCAGATGTTTACACGATTCACACTCCATGTCTCCTATTTTCTGGCTGGCTGGCTTTTTTAATTTGCAGTATCTCTAGAGAGGGTGCATTACACACCAAATTATTTCAGATTAAAAAGCTCAGCCTGCTCCTCAGTAGCACTGATCAAAAATTGAGCTGGTGTGCATTACTGTTCAATTTCCAGCAGCAGAGAAAAAGGAAGATGCCTTAAAGTGCTTCCTTTGCCAAGGATCTGTCCCTCTTGTGCCTGGGACACCAGCGCAGTCAGAGTGCAGCAGGTGAGTTACTGCCGTCCTGGCTCTAACACTTCAATGTAGTAATGTGTTTAATGTAACACAGTAACGTAGTAACACAAATAGCTGAGGCCAAACAAAACTAGCTATTCTTGCCGCTAAAATTGTCAGGCCGCTTTCCCAAGCTTTACAGTCAGGGCTTTAAAGGCCTGTGGACAAAGACAGGGGCATTTTTTCAAAGAGTTAAAGACACAGAACAAGTATTTCCACGACATTCATTTTTCTATCGAGTGTACCCAGTTTTAGCTGAACTTGCAAACACACCTCAGGCTCTAATCTCCTCAAATCACTGCAAGTCTATACTGCTTGCTCGATAGCAAGTGTCCAGCACACTGAACCAGGGTCTGACAGTATCTGTGCAACACTATTCACTACAAACAGCTATAAACAGCTATACAAGGAAATTAATAATCAATGATGATTGCATTCAAGATTTTTTCTAAAAAAAAAAACAATGAGAGTTACAGTAGCTCTATTTTCAAATTCAGATGTGCTACTCTAGCTGTCTATTGCAATGCCTGTTCTCCAGTATAAGTGATGTTCTGTGTAACACGCTATTTTGGGGCAAGGAAATCAATCCTCCAAATATTTCAAACTCAGTCATCATACTTAGCTCTCAAATAATTTTATAGTGAGGAACTAAAGTTGATTCCAAGGAAAGTTCTGCAAGTGTGACCTGTACTCACGAAATGCAGAACACCTGCAAAATTTGTTTCGACATAAAAAACCAGCAAGTGCGCACAGAACCCGTATTGCCGCTAACAACTAAACATTAATAAAATAGCTCAAACCATAACAAAGTTATGCCAAACTACATTCTGTAACCTAGTTTTATATTGCGTTTTCTTACACGCAAAATATTATGGGGAAAGAGGATACACTTTAGTATAACCAAAATCTTAACAGACTAACCATATTATTACTAGTGCAGATCCAATTATTGCAGAAAAAAGTAAACATTACTATACATTTAAAAAGGTCTCAGAATTGTTATACATACACTTCCTGTTACCTCACTCCTTTTCCTGGTGTTATGCTTACCCTGCAACTGACCCTTTGGATCTCGAGGCTGATGGCATCCATTTGTGCCAGGGACATATGGCAAGTCATCAGCATCCCAAATCCGAGCATGACGTTGATGATTTCTTCCTCCTTACTCTATAATCGACTTGGATCACTTTTGTGTTTGATATCACACTTGTAATATTTTGCTCTTTCTTCAGCTGTCTGCCTGTTCACAACTACATCTGGTTTTACTGTATGTGGTGCATTTTATGTTATATACTTTCTCTCCCTTTTATACTTAAAATTTGTCTAGAGCCCACCCATGCCCTGTGTCTTGACATGCCAGGTGCTGTTCTACACTGCATCTTGCACTGCCACTTAAGGCTGCCATTATCATGTCAGGTCTCTCTTCCTCTACACTACCTTATCCCATCAAAGGCATCAATACGTCACTCTATACAGAATACCTACTTGCTCCTGCTGTCTATATAAAAATCTATGTATATACCATAGGAAAAAAAAAGTACATGTAAACCAAATTAATCATACCCAGCTGCTCATTAACAAATTGCTGTTATAGCTAAACCAAGTAGAAAGCAAGCTCCAGGTGAGTCAAGGGAAGCTCAGACAAAGCCAACCTGCTGAGGTTCAGTCACGAGGCTGTACTGAGCTTACCCCACACCAGTGGCCCATCACCAGCAATGGTAATAGCTGGGCTACAGCTTAGACAGACATTCTCCCCCTTCTCCTTTTCCCCAAACATTAAACATTTGCAACAGACTAGAATTGGACATTCTTTTTACTGGGGGGAAAAAAAAAATCTGCAAGAATCAAGAACCGAGTAAAGATTAGTGTCTGGAATGTTATGGTTCTGAAATAGAGTTTGTTGCCACTGTACATACCTCTTTTCCATACAATCTGAGATCTAGACAACCTTCTCAGTTGCACACCTATGAAATAGTAGGTTTAGATGTATTAGAAAATAATTACTTAAATATATTATAGGAAACTTTGGATGACTGAAATTAAATTCTAATTCACGGTAGCAGCATCTTGACAAGATGGTCCCTCCCTCTGTGCATTACATTTTTTCTTCATTCTGAAGTTATTTGAAATTAAAGACTAAGCAACATCTGCAGATGTTGCCTTTCAATACATATCCAAAGTAATGAGACCAATATCAGTTTGAGAATACATATACATACTGCACATTTCTATCAGTTCTGTTCAATGGTTCAAAGTGATTGTATTGTTAATGATTCAAAAATCATTACAAATAGTAATGATTTTTAGTGGAAAAAATCATCTTTAAGATGTCTCCGCCCCACTTCCCCCCCACCCCCCTTTTTAAAGTCTTCATGCAGTCTAAGTTTTCCATTCTAGTTGGTCATAGACACTTCCACAGAGACAAAGGAGATGCAACTGTAGGACTGACCCTTTGGACAGGTGGAGGTTGTTCCAGGCTGTCTTTAGTTGACATTTCCACCCCCCTCCTAGAAATAAGCTGGGAGAGTTGATGAACCTCATAATTTCAGAAGAGACAGTTTTGACTTTAAAGACAACCAAAGAGCAATCTAGTACTACCTGCATTTTGGATACAAATTTAAACAAGTGTTCTGAAATGGTATATTTTTTCCTCCCTGACAGAATACTCTACCATACGTATCTATGAGCATTTCTGCACAAGGAGCAAAGACAAGCTAGAGAAGTTATGCTGGTTTTTCATTTCCCTATACCATGCAGTTTTACATCCTAAAATTAACTGCAAAATGTCTAATCGGTTGATCGTCTATAGCTATTGCCACTAAATATGACAGAGTAATTCAGCTGCTGGTCTAAATTCTGGTCTAGCTACTCCAGCCAAAAGATCCAGGCTTCAGTCTTTTAGTTAATATGAAACTAAAATATTAGAAGCTGAGTAACAGGAGTTTATACCATATATAAATAATATAAAACCTAGCTTAAAATTTAGGTGTCAGATTTTTAAGTTTCCATGCAAATAGATTTCAAAATTTGCAGAAACTGAGAAAAATGGTTTAGTGTGGCAATATGCAACCACGCTAAAAAACACTGAAATAGCATCTATGCAACATATCCTCATCACTGTTAGAGAGTAGTTACATAAACTCTTAAATTTATTACAAAATAGATTTCTACCACTAAATAGCAGTCTCCAAAAAGTTTTTATTTATCATCCCAAACTAGTAGATATAAAAATAAACCATTATTTAATATTCAGTTATTTTCATCATACAGTTTTCTTTTTTGAAACAGAAAACATATAAAAAAAATATTTTTCTATGGATGTCCCACAAAGCATCAGACTCCACATTTGTTCTATCATTGCAGAAAAATGAAGCAACTCCAAAATAAGGGAATACAGTCCTGGCAGCCTGTTCTTCCTCTCTTTAAACTGCAGTTCTCTGTATACGCATTTATGGAAACTTAGTAAGGCCTGAACTGAGAAGGATGGCTATCTGGAGGAGGTGGAGGTGGCGGCGGTGGAGGTGGTAAAAATGGATATGATGAGTTGTACGTGTTCGGGCCTGTCCAAATCATATTCAGATTTGAAGGCGGAAGGTGGAATTGATGCATGTCATTAACAGAACCAAAAATTGGAGGAGGAAAGGGATACTGTTGCATCATCGGATTTTCTTTTCTATGAGGCTGTGGAAACACTGGAGATTCCTGATGTATTCTGTTGTCTGAAGAGTACAGCTGTTGCGGTCTTGCTTGTGGCCTCAAAAAACCTGGAGGGCCTGATGGAGGAGGAAATGGATCCCTGGAGAACCCTCTGCCACGGTACCCCCTTGCGTAACTTGAAGTGGGGTGTTGCATTGACTGATGAAGTCCTTTATTCTCACCTTAATAAAAAACCAAAAACATCAAAACATGCAGTTTTAATATTATTTTTGGAAAGATTAAGTTTAATCCTCACAAATCTTTCAAGCTGAAGTCAAGGAAATTTGAAAAGTAATCTTATCAACAAATAATACTGAAAAATAATACATAAACAACAAAATAATATTGGCAAGTCTACTGTTTAGTAACTCATCTTGATTTACTACAGTCATATAGAAAGGATGATCCTAAGGGTTGCAAATTCAGTCATTAAAAAATAAATTTCACTTTCCTTCCCTCCAGGCATTTTCATTTGTATTAACGAATCACAGGAACACTCAAACTGTGAGTATTTTGGAAGCTTTGGTTTAAAACAAGATTTAAAAGCAACACATTTTAAAACTGAAGATAAATTAACACTGTATTGCACTAAAGTGGTATACAGGTTTCAGACCTGGCTTGGTATTACAGCACGGACACAGTACAAGAATTTATTCAAACTCAAATTAATAAATTATCAGAAAAAAGGCAGCCTGTACCTTTACCCAATTAGCTTTCAGCATTCATCTTTCAAAGATGATTTTTTCCCTGTACAGGTCACTGTAAGCATATATATAAGTTTCGTAACAAATGTACTGCCACTTTATATAAATATCGTAAGAGTATTAATGGAATATTAAAAATGTTCCAAATAGCTGCTAAGATATTCAAAAGGCTGTAGAATTTAAACTGAAACATGATCTCTAAAGGATTTTAGGGCTAGAAGCAAAAGGTATTTAGGGACATAAACACCGCATAAAATCACTGAATTTTAAGAACCTATGTGGACCTAATCCTTGGCACTAGACTACACAGAACCATTTTCACCTTTGAAAAGCTGAGTCTGGAAAGGTAGTTGGATACCACAATTCCTACTCATTTTCATAGGGGATTAGGACTTTAGACTCCTTTGGTGCATGCAGGCCTCTCAGAAGCACTAAAGTGAAAGTACTTGACTGAATACTTTTGTTCTTTCTTCTCCTGTCAAAGACTATATCACAATGAGCCAATTTTAATATACTCAAGAGTTTTATAAGGATGCAACCAAGCAAAACTCCAGCTGAGACTGAGTTTGTGCCTCAGTTTCCCAGACATCCTCATTGTTGAATTCAATAGTCAAACTAAATTGGACACAATGTTAATTTATGCCATGTTATTTACGGAAAAAACACAGCAAAACATAACCCATACTCCTTTCACAGATTGAGACAGTTCCTCCCTTTGTGTTCTCCATTATGGAATACAGTTCAGTAACAGCCTCAGCAAGCCCTAGGCAAAGGCAGGTCTGCAATAAGCTGGCAGAATAAGGAGATGGTAGAAAACATGCCCTATGCTAGATATGGAGAAACCAGGAGAGAAAATAACCATCAGCAATGAAGGGAAAGTATGGCATGATTCAGATCCTTCCCTTAAGGGAGGACTGTGAAAACCATAGGACAAAAGCCAATCCAAGAAAGACCACAGCTTTATGTAAAGGGTGCAAGGGAGGTACGTACAGTACAGAGTAAAAGGGTTAACAGGACAGTTAACTGACTTCCCAGATCAAGAGAAAAGCGGTGCAGTGGGTTACAATGTCTAGCAGCTTTACAAAGGAAAAGCAAACTCACAGAAGGAGTTAGTCAAAGACCTGATATGTAAGCAGTAGAAGAGGGGAGGGGTTAAGAGTCAGTAGTAGTTAAAGGGAGTGGTACAAAAAGCATGCAACACAAGCAGACCAGTGAGAACACAGGAAGAGGGATGCAATTTAAATTACTCAACCAAAAATCAAAAACTTTTGTCAGTAGAGAAGCATGAGAGACGACAGATAGGAAAACCTGGTTATTGCAAACAGAGCACAGCTTCAAGCATATACCTGGAACAGATCTGTCAGTATCAGGAGAAAGGAAGGTGAAGAAGGCTGTGTATATTACGAAAAACTATACATAGTTTATTAAAGTACTATAGGTTTATCTAATGACTGTGTTAGGTAAACACAAAGGTTTTCAGTGGTCTACACAAGTGGACCACTTGTTATTCTAAAGGAGTGAGGAAGATCTTCCTTTTCAGACAGAGGAATAAATTCTCCATCTAAGACTTGTGTCTTCTCACCAAGTGTCACCCAAACGGGTTTCCAAAAATTGCACATGGCCTTCCTCAATCTTCTCCCTGCACCTAAAGGCTTAAGCTGAACTTGGGCCCCAATAACTCCTGCAACACGCAAGCTCTGAACTCCAAAAGGTGGCATGTGTTCTATACCCTCGGTGTGTCAGCTGACACTGGCGTAAGAGCCTTTGAACCCCTCTGACAACTGTCCTGCTCCTGTACTACTTCCCTCCCAATTTAATGGAAAAAAACCTTTCATCCTTTTAAAAATTAAGGAATATACCTACAAATTCATGAATACAGCTTTGAGAAGCACAGAAATATTGATTAACTGTATGAAAGCACAATAACAAAGACAGATACCATTCTGTATTTCAAACTCCGTTTAACAGATAAAAGCATTCTCCCATAGCATTCACTCACTTGATGCATTTGTTTCTGATTTGAGTTTCTTCCTTCCTTGATTTTGAGGCTTCTTTTTTTTCTGTTTTGCCTCTCTCTCTTTTTCATCATCACTGAAATCCAAGGCCTGGTTAAAATAAAAAACAAATTAAAAAAAAAGGAGAACGAAGCCATGTGAAGACTGCAGAGAACTTCAGTTCTAGCAATACATCATTATTTAGAAAATAATCCATCCTGTAGTCAGCTCAGAAGAATATTAAAGCTGTACCTTCTTATTTTGCATTCAAAGAGCTATCGTGTTTAGCTGGCTTCTCAACACAATAACTTAACACTCCACAAATGTCTCTTAAGACAATTATACAATTCTCAGTTATTCCTTCTAATTTTCCTGAACATTCAAGTACTAAACAGAAATTTTCGATTGCCTAAATGTTAGTAAGAAAAAAAATTCACCTATTGCACAGCATATAAAAGATGCAAACACTCACAAATCATTTTACATGTGTATCTTGCACAGCTTACTGCCAAAAACAGCAGTGAAGACATCAGGAAGATGCAGATAATTCAATGGAAAGTCTACCAAGGATTCTACTTCACTCTTCCCAAGAAGAAGCCCTAATAGACAAGGAATTTAGCTGGTTCTTAACAAAACTAAGAGGGAAAAGAGTACTACAGCAGTAACTGAAGGAATCCCTGAGGGAGCTGGCTAGTTATTGCCAAGAAAAAGCTTTCAACAGGCAAACTGTAGACTAGGTGAATAAAGATACAGATTTTTTTAAAAATTAAGTATTTGTTACTAAATTAATTTTAACTCAGCACAGTTACACTACATTAAAAAAATATCTCTAGTCTAAACTGGAATTTTCCGTAGTATATTTAGTAACACTGTTCCTGTTAAACTTGCAATAGCAGTATTATTCCAAAAGAATTTTCAGCTTTGGAGAATGTTGTAATCTACAACAGACTCAATGCCACTGCAAGATTTTGTTCCTGTTACACAAGGTGTTGCTACCTTTAGAATCCTAGCTTACATTTAGAATGAGGAAAAGTTGTTAGTGACAGGTAAGAAGTTTGTCAGCATAACTAGTTCCCTGAAAAACAGCTCACTCATATGATTTAGAGGGGTAGGGTTCCCCCTCCTGCTTCCCAATTCTGAAAGGAACATTTTTTTCTGCTTACTGACGTTATCGCGACAGTATGGAAAGAGCACACATCTCAAAAACACTGCACTGAAAGTGTTTTTTAAAAGCCACATCACAGTTACTTCTGAATACAACTATTTTCTCTTCTACATAACTGTATTATATTCTTACTCGAAAAAAGCCATATGGAAATACAAGATGATATATAACTCGAAGTAAAATCTTTCACTTACTCCTGCTTCTTCTTAGGACTTCAATATGCCATCCTCCAGAAGTAACAAACAGGTACCTTCTATTGCTAGCTAACTTCCATGTGACACTCCATAAAAGCTGCCTCACAAGGAAATTGCAGTTACCTCCTCCTGCTATCCTTGCAGCATACGCATCACGCTTTGCCATCCTACGGCCCCAATGACAAGGCCGAGACAGATTATATTGCTGAGTCTACAGTTAAGCTGGCCTAATTATAAGCCTGTCAAAAGGAACACTTAACCATATACCTTAAAGTAGGAAGCATAAAAGACCTAATGGATTAATTTAACATTCATACAAAAAATAAAGCTTCATAGTATCACAGAAAGAACTGAATCCAGCAACTGCACAGTTTACTGTGGGAGCTGGCCAGAAAAATTACAGAACCAGCTGCCAGCTGAGGGCTCTAAAAAAGTCTGGCTGTAAGAGACAATTTCAAGCATCAGTAGCACAAAATTTAATCTGCACCCTTGTAGGCAGCTATTACCTTCACAGCAAAAGCTACTTTCTATCAGCTCATCAGCTGTCACATTTTGGATATCTTAGTGTAAACTAACTGCTAGAACTATCCAAAGATTATTCTAATTAAGGATTACAAGATGTTAGATGTGGTGTTTTCTCCAAAACAGAGCAGACATATCACAAAGTCAGAACAGACATGGAAACAAAGGTGTCATAAAAAGCAATCATTTGCCCATCCTTGCCATCATTTCATTCAAGCTTCCTTCCTTCCCATAGTGAAGTACACTAAACTTGAAGTTCCCCCTGTACTTCCAGATTCTAACCTGAAGATAACTGTATCATAATTAAAATTAAGAAAAATTATTTTAAAAAATTACCAACTTTGGAAAAAGGAATTAATCTATATCTGCAGAAGACTTTACTGTATTTAGCCAAATTTCAAAGTTACTTAGGTTCCTACAAATTCAAATTACACATTTACAGGCTTATCTCCTGAACAGCTTTAAAAATATGACTAAAACAAAAAAGCTCACCATTAGCCAATAAGCACGTTTTGTATCATCATCACTAGAAAATCGTTCAATGAAAAAAAGCTAAAACTAGCCAGAAGGTTCTAAGTACACACAGTCTTTCAAAGCTCTATTGATCACATACCTACAGTCCAATTCTATGCAACACTTCTAATTCTCAAATGATGATTCTCTGTGAGTGATGTCTCCCCAAGAAAGGAAGGCAATTTACAGTCAGAACTGACAGACAAGCATTCTTTGAGAGAAGTTAACACTGCCCAGCTCAGTTCTGTTTGTGGGAAGAAAAAAAAAAAGGTAATTCTAAATACATCATCCTCATCATACTGGAAAAAGCAACATTCTGGGTTGACAGATCGATACATCATTACAGGACCTATCTTCAAGCACAGAAAAGCCCATGTCACAGCATCTCTCCTTCAAGCCACAACTGGCCTGGGATAAGGACTATGAATGCAAAAATTGATACTGTCTCTCACAGCATCCTTCCAGACAAGTTACCCAACTGTGGGATGAGTGGGTTCATGGTGTGTTGGGTGAAGAACTGGCTGAAGGGCAGAGCTTAGAGGGTTGTAGTGAATGGGGCTACATCTGGCTGGCAACTGGTCACCAGCAGTGCCCCTCAGGGTTCAATTCTAGGGGCAGTTCTGTTCAATGCATTTATCAATGATCTGGATGAAGGATTTGAATGCACCCTTAGCAAGTTTGCTGATGGTATCAATCCGAGAGGTGCTGTTGAGTCTCTTGAGGGAGAAGATGCCTTGCAGAGAGATGTAGATAGATTGGAGCACTGGGCTATGATTAATAGGATGAAATTTAACAAGTCAAAATCCTGGATTCTGCACCTGGGACAGAATAACACTGGCACAAGTATACACAAGGGGAGGAGTGGCTAGGGAGCAGCCCTGCAGAAAGGGATCTGGGGGTGCTGGTCGACAGCAGGCTCAGTAGGACTCAGCAGTGTGCCCTGGCAGAGGTACGGGTCAGCATGGTCCCCCGCCAGCCAAGAGGGTAACCCGCATCCTGGGGTGCGTCAAACACAGCATCACCAGCCAGTCAAGAGAGGTGATTGTCCCACTGTATTCATTGTTGGTGCGGTCTCACCGTGAGTACTGTGTGCAGTTCTGGGTCCCACAATTTAAGAAGGATGCGAAGGTCCCTGAATGCATCCAGAGGAGGGCAATAAAGCTTGTTGAAGGGCTGGCAGGCATGTCCTATGAGGAGCAGCTGAGGACTTCGGACTTGCCTAGTTTGGAGAAAAGGAGGCCGACAGGCAACCTCGTGGCTCTCTACGGCTTCCTGAGAAGGGGAAGCGGAGAGGGAGGTGCTGAGCTCTTCTGCCTGGGATCCAGCAGCAGGACCCATGGGAATGGTTCAAAGCTGCACCAGGGGAGGTTCAGACTAGACATTAGGAAGCATTTCTTTACCGAGAGGGTGGTCAAACACTGGAACAGGCTTCCTAGAGAGGTGGTCAATGCCCCAAGCCTGTCAGTGTTTGAGGCATTTGGACAATGACCTTAAACACATGCTTTAGCTTTTCTTCAGCCCTGAACTGGTCAGGCAGTTGGACTAGATGGTTGTTGTAGGTCCCTTCCAACTGGAATAGTCCATTCTATTCTAAAAATTGGTTAGAACACTAAAAAGAAAACCAAGCCACAAAAATCACCTTTCCTACAAAAAACATCCTTCCTACTTAATTACAGAGTAAGAAGCACATACTACATAGCTTAGAACTATGCTAAGCATGCAAGCTTTTGGAAGATTCAAAACAAGCAGATAGAGAGGTATCTTTAGGATACTATAGTAGATAGAAGGCTTCTAGGAATTTCAGCTATTTTGGATAAGATAAAGTAGACATTGCAAGGAAAAGTGACTCAAGTGTTGAGCTAGAAAACAAATCTCATGAAAACACCTCAATAAAACTACCAGCTTTGCAATTCTCACTGAAGAAAAGAACAGTCATGAAAAGTAGAGAAGTGGAGTAAAGGAGCACTGGACAGGAAGCCTAGATGTCATTGAAGAAATCTTTACAGATCCTATAGTAAATTATGTCAATGGTTGTGAGGAGCTCTCACTTCTACATGATCCTGTATGACTACCTTTGTATGGAAGAAGCTCATCTCCTCTCATGAAACTAGCGTTTTATAATAGGAAACAGTGGGGAAACTTTACTAAGACGACATTCAAAGAATGCAACAGAGGAGGTGTCAAGTTAATCTAACAGAGTAGACAGCTTAAACACCCAACTAGTACAGTTTGCAGAGTACTAGCAGGCCTTTAAAGGCAAACAATTGCTTGTGGCAAGGCAAAAGACAAAGCTGCAGTGAAAAAACAGCAAGGACAGAAACTCCCTGGCAGAAGCAAAACTATTAGGCAAGGTAAAAGCACTGCTACTCAAAGTTGAACACTCAGGTTGCCAAACATGCTCTTGAAGGACTAGAGGAACTAAAGATACACATTTTCCCAATTGCAAAAAGCAAGTAGAAAAAGACAGCTAGTACTCTCTACACTGACTGTGAGGCCTAAGAAAAGCATGACCTTCTTTTCAATGAAGAGGTACATCCAACTCTTGTCTGCATAAAAAAATAAGCTAATTAGTTACTCTGCACATAAGTTTTTCTACATATATCTTATGTAATCAAAAAACAATAAGCAAAAAAACCCCCTATAGTTACTTCAGGTGGTGGTTCTTGGTCATTCTTCCAAGATGCATCTGAACCTTTTTCCCTAAAAGAAAAACAAAACCAACACAAATTAGATGATCAAGATGAAGGAAGAAGGTGTACAGAGGCTATGAAATGTCTCGAGTCACCTACTAGCAAATATTCCAGGTTACAAATAATCTGCAAGAAGTGTACTGCAGCAAATAGGGTAACACTTTCTTCAAGGTATCAAGAAGCTGCCTGTTTTAAAAGACTTATTTGTTTTTAAAATGTTTTTAAGTGAATAGTAATGTATGTGTCAACTTAGGACTCCACTACATATGCCACTTGAAAAAATCTTCCTACTTGGCATGAAGACTGAACATTTCACACAGCTAATATTAAGCTTTGGTCAATATTCTCTCACCACATTCTTTTGAACCTAAATTGCTTTGAACCTGAATTGAGGTAGTTCATTGCAACTTTCTTATGCTGGCTAACTGCTGACCACAGTCATAAGGTTTCTCATTCTTCTGGTTTCAGAACACGTATCTCTAGTTAAAAAAGGACAATGAACTAGTCTAGTATGACGCAGGCTTTAAGTATGTCTATAGCAAAGTAAATTTGGAAAAAACCACCCTCTAAACTTGGCTTACAACTCTGTAATACAGTGTTATATAATTAGGTTTCATATTCTATTTTGTTGTAAATATTAAAAAGCACAGTAAAAGACATTTAAGGAAGCAAAAACTCAATTGTCTTGCCTGACAAGCACCAAAATTAATTTGAAGTGGTATCATTTACTTCACCCACCATTTTAAGAACTTCCTAAAAAGTCAAGTCATTTCTTTGATTAGCAACAAATTTAAATTATGCTGTTAAAGTCTGTGGAGAGTTTTTCTACGCTGCTCACAAATTTAATATATTTTGGTCTGTAATGTCAAGACACAATCCTTATCTATGTAGACAAACTATATAAAATAATGCAATACTGAAAATTCTTACTTGCAAAATAGAACAATATAGTTAAAACCAGCAATATGTCAGTGTGAGAAGTCTTCACTCAGTGCTCTAATAACCAAGGGGTTAGTAAATCATATTATCATGCAAGCTATTTTAAAGTTCAATTAGAAAAGAAATGTTACAGAGAGGAAAGGAAGATAACGGCTCTATATGAACAATTTCTCAGCTGCAGAAAACTTTCTATCTATGCAATAATTAAGAGTAACACTTTTTTTTTTTTTTTTTTTTTGCTATTATGACCCAACTTCTTTGTTTCTCCTTATCTTGTTATTTTGGGGCAATACATGCCTGCCAGAAATACCAGAGCATGCAAGAAACTCTAAGACCTGTGGTCATTAGGCAAAGATAGTACTATTGACTGCAAAATTTAAACCTTCTACATTCTTCAGGCAGCTTATCTCACTCTCCCAAAGCAGCCTTCCTCATTTTAGCAAAACACAAAACACCTTCCATGCCCTGAGATAGTTAAAGAATTACTATCTTGTTCTTTGCAGAAGATTATTGATTTCTGAACTCAGATACTGTAAGATCTGGAAGTCTAACAAAAGGTGACTCAGAGGAATCATGAAAACACATGAGCTTCTTTAGAATTACTTTGTGTTTCATGCAATACAACACAAATCTATTTTTAGCAACAAATTATTTTGCATTCAAGAAGTTTTACACTACACTTTCATTTATTTTGCTATCAAGTATAAAGCTTATTCATAGCACTGCAACTTTGTACAATGCAAGCAGATTGCATGCCAGATTTCAGAAAAAGCTTCAAACTTAAGGTTTCTTTCAGATCTTAATTCTGATTCCTTTCCTTTTCAGAGTACCATCACAGTTTTGAATAGCAGTTCTAAAAACTTTAAGTCTATAATACTTCACAAGCCGGTCTGCACAGAAACTAACAAAAAGCAGAAAATAAAAATCATTGGTCATCAAATCTGCAATTTGCTAAGGTCCAAAAGCCTTCTTGTGAAGCACTGACTGAAGCTCAACTTTGCTACTGTCTATGTCATCTTGGTTTCTTTATATAGACATTACAGCACAGATCAGAAATCAAAATTTTTTATCCTTTTTCAGTAACACCTACTTTGTGAAAAGGCAGCTTCAACAAATAATGCCAAATTGCCTCACAGAGGTTTAAGAACTTTTACTGACAGAACTCAGAAATAAAATATTGTTTCAGTGAAACGTAGCTTAAGTCACATTACTCAGAAATTATGGTTTACGTCAGATCACACAGGTGTTCACGTTGCTCATTTTAATGCAGGGCAAGAAACAGTGTTTGATGCACCATTCAGTTGCATTGGTAAGTCATAAAAGCGTGTAACATCTTACCTAGTGTTCAATTTTGTACCATGTATGATAGTAAAGTACTACCAAAAGACAAATAGTTCCCAAAACTACTTGCAAAGCATGTAACAAACTAAAACATAAGTTTCATGTCTTAGATGCTGAGTACAGCACACAGTTATTGATGTAGTAAGCAGATGATTAAAGTCTGTGCAGTTACTGTGCTAAGCAACAAAGTTTAATGGCACAAATCAAAGACCAGCTGGCATCAAAACGCTGCGGGAAAACAAACAAGCAGTAGGGTGAGCAAGTGATCTATTTTGGTCTTCACTGAAAAGAAAAAAATACGCTTGTGGCTTCCATAGAAATGGGACAGGAAGAAAGGAAAAAAAAAAATACTCCTGCAGGCCTGGCTACATGCATGACTAAAGAAAAAAGTTATTCAATATGAACACTAGCAGAATTGCAACTAATGCAGACACCAATATTATTTGCTATAGTCAGAAAAAAATTGCAAGTCAGATGAGAACTAATCCTAATAAAAAGAGACTAAGCTGCTTGTATGACAAAGGACTTTAACCTATAGTTATTTCAGACAATTATTCATCAATAATTAGAATGCTAATGTCTACTAGTCATTTATTATGCTTTATTTCTTATTCTGTATCTTTGAATACACTTCCACTTATAGGGCAACAAGTCATATTCATACATGCTAATTTCCTCAGTCAGACTGGGATACACAAATACTATTGAGAAGTTTCTGAACATCATACTACGCTGCCACTCAAATCCCTCCCCTCTCCCAAATTTACAGCAGGTAATTTTCACATGGAATTGTCATTCACCAAATGCACAATAGATTTATTGGTAATTAAATTTCAGTTTTAGCCTTGTAACATGAAATAAAAATAGTAAATAAATACAAACTTGTTCAGAATTCAAACAAGCTTATTATAAGTTATGAACCTAAATGAGAATCTGAAGAACAACAAAATTGTAAAGTTCAGTTTGCAAAACCTATGTACATGTATGTGTGTGAGAGGGTGTGGGGGAGGGAAGCATCAATGATTTTTTTTTTCTGGTTATGATATTTCAGGTAACACAAAAACATGAAAACAAAGAAACCTTAATATATTAAATTGAATAAGAAGTTACTAATCTTTAGTAATTATACTTGTAGTTTACAGCTACTCTATACTGTTCTGAAAGGTAAAACAGTACAACCTCTTTATTACAACAGTATTTTTAGCTATATTAAAAAATACATTATAACCAGATTAGAAAAGAAGTCAGACTCACTGTTTCAGTTTCTCTGCAAATATATACTGGGTGAAGTCCTCTACAGATGGAGCAAAATACATGCTGTCTCGCACATTAATACCTTTTGCTTTGATATGCTCAGAGCTGTTAAATCTTAACACATAAAAGGGATGTAAAACAGGACCAAAAATCTCAAATATCTGAAACACAAAATTAAAATGTTTAAATAAACCACCAAGAGAAGGTAACTAATTTCATGATATACAACCATGAAGCTTTAAGATGCTTTTTATTTAAGAAGTTTGATGTATTTTCAAAATGTAGCATCAAATAAAGTTACTTTCATGCTTTAGTCATATTACCACATTTTGTTTGACAGTGTATTTCCCCAGCTACTGTTTAACATGGAAAAGTTCTCACATATTGATGTTGCCTTTGCCCACCCAACTGCACTGTTTTCACTGTCTGCTTCCTGTACCTTAGTAATCCTTCCTTTTGTCAAATATCTATTCTTCTTTCTCCATTATGCTTTCAAATAACTTACACCTGGAACAATCTCCTGATCATTTATTCCTCAAAGTTCATCTTTACAAGGCACCTTTACATCAGTTCCCCTGTCTGTTTCCCAATTCTGTGGGGAGCAGAGAATTCAGAGATGCTGTACAGAACATCTACAATTTCAGGCTGTGTTTTTTTGTTTCGCTCACATCTAGCATTCAAAGATACAGTAGTAACTACTCCAGATAACAGCTTTTCTTCGCCACAAAGCATACAAAATTCAATGCAACACCCCTCTTGGCAAGCATTCTTCGTTATACTTGCATAAAGCACACATTGGCCTTAAACTGGAAGCGCAGAAGGCAGGTACGTAAACATTCCCCACTTTTCCTGAAACGTGACTCTAATTTCTCCCATCTTTGCCCCCAACTCTTGGCAATAAAAGAGCACAGCCTGTTTGTTATTCAAGACACCATACAACTGAAAGCAACCTCTACCTCTCCATAAGCACTCTCATAAAATAGCAGAAACTCATCACACACTGTAATTCTGTAAGGATGCAATGAATTCCAGGTTAGGAATTCTTGAGATTAAAAACATAGGAGACTATAGCAAGAAGAAAAAGCACACAGAAAAAATATAAATCAATGAAACATTGTATTTCATTTAGTCAACTTCAACACTACTTGTTGAACATAAATGAATATATGGAATTTTATATTAGAATAACAGGAGTTTATGCTTTACACACACCTTTCCTGCTGCTTGACGATCTTCTTTAAAAATTATGCTTTCCTCATTTACTGGAGGTAGGCCTCTCAGTGATTCGATTATTACTAAAACGGAAAAAAAAATCAATTAGAACTTCATTTCAACAGCAGTATGTAGTTAATTGCAGAGAAACTTAACACACCACACCATTATTTGTCTACTAAAGTTCATAAAGTTTAACCTGAAAATTCTTGTGCATGCACAAAACTACTTGTAATCATAAACCCCTTCTCCAGTGACACATGAGTGGTAAGATTTACATTTGCTTACAGAATTATTGTTCTCTGGGGTGGAGAAAGAAACGAGACCAGATGATAGGTACAAAAGAGAAGTCTCAGATACGTATGTATGAGATACTTGTTGTATGTACCCAGGATATTTCTTGTGCATAGCAGCAATAACCTGTTTTGTTTGCTGGGGATTTTTTGAGTGTAGATGCATGTGTATATTCTGCCTTCTTAGTATTCCAAATGAAATTCTTCTTGGAAAAAAGAATAGAGATGGCTATTCATTACAGCTTCTCCTAGTAAGTCATAAGAATTGGACCAGAACACAAAAGATGCCTGGCAGTCCAGTCACTGTAGCAACTGGTTATGTCATTTATGTATGCAGATACACAATTTGAAATACATTTCTGCAATTTAATGTCATATAATAGTCTAGTGCTATATTTGGGCCTAATCCATGATTAATGATGGTATGAGTGGTCAGAGCAAATTAGTAGCTCAAAATATGAAATCTTAACATTTAGTAGACTTAACACACTTGTAAATGGACACCAAAGCATGTTATTCCCCCATTAAATACATAACTTGATATACAGGTGACTTCATTTTTAGGTTTTCCATATTCAGAGATATAAAGAACTTATTCTTTACTGAAATCTTTAGAGTTGTTCACTCTCTTTTTTTGTACTTCAAAATTTTCCTTTAGTCTACAGAAATACCAGGTCTTCCTTTACTGGAATTATGCTTAAAGCTGTCAATACAGAGGCCTAGCAGCATTACACTCAAAAATTGTGAAGGTAATCTTTTCTAACATCTAAAACAACAGAATGCTCAATTAAACATTCTCAATGCCCCTCTATCATCAAATAAAGTCACTCAAGCACTCAGTGTCACTCAGATTCCAACAAAAACTAACAAGATTATCACTGCTAAACTTACATAACAGGACTTAAAGCTTAAACATCACATCAAGCTAAAACTCCAGCATTGCTACTATTTCAATCTGCAAACCCCTTGTAACATGCCAAGCAAATGTGTGACAATGCCACAACTGGACTGATCACATATAGCCCCCAGTCTTCCAGCAGGCTAAGGAAAATACTCTGAAAACATAAGGCATGCCAGTCCCATGAAACTGAGGAGACACATTACCACCTAGAGCCCATCTGACTTAAAGCTACCCCTACCCCAACCCACCCAAAATCCTCAGCTTCTACTCTTCCAGGGCCCAAAGTGCAGTCCCAGGACAGGTTTCTCATATATATCAAAGCTGTTTACTTTCCAGGCTACAACCCACATAGTGAATTTTTCTCTTCTCTAAGTACCTTGAAGCAAAATACAGAAAAAGTTCTGTTAAATTCTGATACACTGAGCAGAAACTAAAGTTCACAGAAAGTACTGTCATCATACTTTCAGCTGGTGTGAAGCAAGCACAAACCTACACTGTTCTAGCCTTAAATTCACCTCAAAGTATGGAATAGCCAACTTACTGCAATCTGCAGTGTGTGATACCTGTAAGTTTCCAAGTTCATCAGAGAACAGCAGAGATTTCTGATACATCAAAGGAACAGAACACATTCAGGATACTGACTGTTGTGCCAAAATAGTATTTGTGATTTCCAAATGAGACCTCAACCTTCCTCATACTAGATACAAACCTGGTATACACAGGTATCAGTTATTTCAAAAATCAAAAACCAACCCACAATTAGCTGGCAGAGTCCCTAATATGGCCACAAAACAATTGAAATTGAGGCCACTCAGACACCTGTTTCCAAAAGAACTGAAAAGAAAGGAAAACATGTAGAAAGAGGAAGTCACAAAGCAAGGTAGTAAAAGCAGAAAAGTAACACAGATATTGTGGGGTTTTATTCTGTTCTTAAGTCTGTATTTCATGTATGATTATTAGTCTGATTTCTAAGTTTCACTAACCAACCTAAATTCAATACTTCATATATTTCAGTTACATAAAGTAGAATACAGACTCAAGAATTCACCTATCAGTAAACCGACAGGATTTGGAAAGGTTATACACACCAGGGAAGATTAGAAATTAAGGACGGTTTTCGAAACTGAAGTCTTTAAAAACAGCTTTGTTCAAACATTCAAGTACTAGATCAAAAATAAGAATAATTGCAAACCATGATTCAACTGTTTCTCTTATTTTCAAAATACCAGTTTAGCTGAAAACAGCCTTCTTGAAGTCCCCATTATTATCAATAAGCAAGAAAAGGCAAAGTAGAACAAAAGGACGATGACCAGATTGCTACTTTCACATTCTCACATCAGCTTACTGCACATGAATGAAATTAAATCTAACTCCAAACCAATAACAAAAATACTGTAAAGGAACTGTATTACCTGGAGTCTTTTATAAGAAAAGAAAATTTAATAGCAAAGGTTATTTGCTTTAATTCTTTTGTACCCCACTGAACATATATACTTTAACTTCAAAACTGAACTTAATTTCTAATTTTCATAGGCAAATTGGTTTGAAAACAGTTCAAGCAGAATGGAACACTTGAAATAAGCTTAAATACAAACATACTATGGATTCTTTATTAATATCCGTTTCGGTAAAACTTTGATTTCATGTATCAAAAACTGAGGTCCCAGGTAGATCTGAAGAGATCCCTAAACACGTATCGCCTGCAGTTACGCTTACAGCCATTGTCTGTCTCAATCCCATTAAGCTTATCCTCCAGCACTTATAAATCATGCTAGTCATGCTGTCCTACGAGTGCTGACACCGGCAGCTTGTATTTGGTCAAGGTGCCAGAAGTGGGATAAATAAAAAAAAATTAAAAAAGAACACACCTAATATACCAATTACCCAGCAAGCACTGCTACACTGGCTAGAGAAACAAGTCTTTTTCCTGTCCTCATATATTGACAAGCAATGCACTGTACTGTACCTGTGCTTTCAGTTATACACCTTCTGTATCTTCAGAGATAATTCTATAGCATGTACAACTGGAATATTTCTTAAAACACTCCAAATGTTCAATCTTACTGTTGCTGGAATTAATACAAAGTTCCTAATACACAGTGAAAAAATGCTTTTTTACAAAAAAAATAGAAGATGAAAGTCACACAGACACACATGCATAACAGCTACAGTATCTTAATCTTTAGAAGATTAAGCCAACTAAAAGGGAATTCAACACAAATGCCATCTGGTAGTCCGAGTTCTCATTCAGCAGCCCACTACCCCCTGAAGTAGACTGCTGCAGTACTGGCACTTTGAGGGAACAGTTAAGTGCACAATTAATGCAAAGATATACAGAAATTATTTTAAATAAATCAAACATATCTTGCCTACCTAGCTGCTCAATGATGCTGGAAACTGTCCCAAAGAGCTTTAGTTCAACATCATCAGGCAAAATTATTGATAAGTCTTCAACAGGAGGCAGTTCCTGAAAAGATCAAGTCAATGTTCAGAATATAATATCCTCACACTAAGACATTCATCACTTTGTCGCTGCATAAATTTGACAATCAGAAAAACCTCCTAGCATTTTGAAGACAATAAAAAGATCCAGTTTGATTTGTCTCTTTCAGAATAATTCTAAATCAACTCATCTTGGGGAAACGTCACTTCTGAAGACACCTTTTCTATCGAGATGCTACTCTACATATTTCTGTTGCAACTAAAGTAGAAGTAAATTTTATTTAACTGGAGAAATCCAACAACTGATAGACATTTGGTTCTTTTTTTTGAACTTTCAAATTAGATAAATTAAGTTCAATGTACAACACAATAATTAGATAATCAACAATCAAAAAAAAATCCAACAACTTGTAACCACACTCAATACATGACAGAAGAAAAATGCACATAGCAAGAGATACAATAGTATAAAATACACTAGGTATGTATAATCTGATTTGATAAAATGGTGTCTCTGTCCATTTATGCCATGATTCAGACCATTATTGAAGATGTAAAGATCACTACAACCTATACAAAGAAAACTTTTAGCTAAAGTTGTATTTGGTACAAGAGGATAATCACAGAGAACACTTCTGAAAAAAAGCATTAAACTTCAGATATACAAATGAGTGCTGCAAAAACAACTTAAACTTTTTCCTCAAATGTAAGCATCAAAACCTGCTATCAAAGGCTGATTAACACTGACCTCATCATCTACTTCCAACTTTCTCAAACTAAGATTTCTATATATATACTATACTACTGTGAGTTCAATATTGACTATATGGAATCCAAGGTAAGGACAACTAGAGTAAGAATTAGCTTCAAATTCAACATCTTCTGAATTTGGAGGTAGAGTACAAATCTTAACACTGAACTGCACTTTTAAAGGCCATCACCAGAAACAAAATTCCTCTCCAATAGAAGAATCTCATCCTGTCTTATCAAAACTTCACCTGATAACCACTCTTAACAAAAGTGCTTGGCAAATGTTTCTAGAGCAACACTCCTTAGTATGCGCAGGTTTTTTTTCCCCTAAGCACATATTCCAGTTAAAATAAAATATTAAAGAAAGTATTTATCTTTGACACACACCTTCACAAGTTAACTATTCCTGGGGACTTTGGGGTAAAAGACTAATCATCAAGTTTCATTTTTAACAGATATATTTTAATTTTCAAATTGTATTCCCTCAAATTTACATAAGGCAATCTACAACATTTTACATAGACTAATTCTATTACTGTAGAATGGCTTAGTAAAAGATACAGGAAATGATGTAGTTGCTAGAACTATCATTGGCAAAGAGCTATAGCTCTGCTGAACCAATGAAATGAATCAGGGCAGTACTTAAAAGACAGACAATGTTTTGGAAACACTTGGACTTGAAGCTAGTAAGCTAACGAGACAGAAGAGCAAATCAACAAAGCATTTTCAGACTAACATTAATTTTCTTTAAATAAATCGAGACAAAAGGTAAATAAAACCTATTAAGCACATCTATTTGAGCATGGATTTTCGTTCAAAAGTCCAGTGCTGTAAAAAAAAAAATGTTGTCACAGAAGCACTTTTAATGGTTCTACTATTAATCATCCTTCAAAACAAAGTGTACGTAAGCAGGAATTGCTCTGATGTTTTGCTCCTTCAGAATACATTATGTGTCTTTCCCAATCTTTGATTAATTTCAGGGATAAAAGCATATCCTAAGAGCTTTTCTTTACTCTAAGTGTCTCTAGAGCAACAGTTTAAGATTTAACAACATATTCTCATCTCCTGTTGCTACTACTAAGGCGCATCAATGTCTCTGCCTTTCCAGTCATCTAACACTCCATTATACACTCTTAAAGACTGCTGAGGCAAAGGTAAATGTAGCCAGACGTATCTGTTCTTCAGAGGTTTTTTTTTTCCTCTACCTCTCTAATAATCTCTTGTACCCTTCACCAGACTGGTTTCTCATCCCAGAAAGCATTTTTTATGAAGGGGAGAAATCTACAGAATAACAGATAGACACATACTATTAATGTAAATTAACATTACAGTGTTATCATTCTATTTGTAAGCCATTATAAATGATGCATAGCTAATAATCTGTTAGCAGATAATTACTAAAACTCATTCCTTTAAACCTCTTAATTTTGAGATAATGAGGAATAAGGGAAGCAGTACTTAATGAGTATGTTATTTATGAAAACCAAAAGACAGTATCTTGATGCAAATCAAGGTTCTGACCTGCAATACATAAAACAGTGTTGTAACAAAATAAATAAATAAATGGCAGAATAAAAAAAAAATACAACCCACTTCTACGATCAGTCTAATAATTTTGCTTAAGTGAGTAGAGGCAATGCAATCTGAACCTCTGGGAGGCTTAATACAACATTTGAAATTTTTACCTCAAGGCTAAACATATTTGAAATATGCCTGCAAGACATATCAGACCTTCAAGTCTCTCACATAGAGAAAGGATGATGAAAGCCTGCAATATACAAACAACAAAAAATGTACTAAAATATCCAGAATTTTATCCAGAATTTTGTTTTCATTAATTACAACTGTGATTTTATACAAATATGAACCTAAAGTAAGTTGTGAACCTCACTTCAGAGGGGTCTTCATAAACTTAAAACGTCTTACTTTTCAGTAATTAACTGTGCTAAGTCTGAATTAGTGCAAAAACGTACATTCAACCACTAGGTCTCTTTGACTTAAAAATGACTTAAAAATATATTCATTTAAAATATTTTAAATTAGTTTACTAGAAAAAGGTTTAAAAGATAACATATTGTACTTACATCAATAGGCAACTCATCTTTTGTTTTAACACAGTAAGATCTGTTATCCTTCTCGTTTGGATGATCATCTTCAGATATTGTTGAAGAAGAACATGAAGATGAGGATGTAGTTGATGAACTATCTGAATCCGTATCACTGAATAAAACACATACAGGAGTTAAAATACAGACTTCCACATTACAGATAAGAACAGTGGCTAGATTATACATAACTCAAATACCTTTGGTTGCCAGATATGTTTTTCTTAAACGTATACATTTGTATACGGAGGAGCAGCAATCTTTCCTGAACCTACAAACCACTGGACAAGATGATAAAAAAAAAATAATCTCAGAAGAGTAGTAGCTTCTTCTGCAGTTCAGAGCAAATGCTAACAACTACAATGGCTCATTTGAGTTCCTGCTGTTTCACTGTTGAATGGGGCATGTGGCACAAGAGCAATCACCTCTTTAAGTTCACCTAGTCCAGTTTCCCCCACTGGGTACCCCACGCAAAAGACCAGCACCTGCATAACTCCCTCTATCAGACATACATAATAGTCACAGTTTGGGACCTACACTTCATTGGTTTGCAAATGAAATGAGACATTAGAGTCACAGGATGATCACCTTGGTACAGCACCTAGATAAATACAGCCAAATTAGGACCATAATAACTATGCACCACTTAAATTCTCACATTTGAACATCACTTGACATAACTGAGCACCAAAAAAAGACAATACATTAAACTACATGCTATAGTTCACAATCATTCTTCTTGTACAATCCCAATATTAGCATAAAGCTAAGTGAAAGTCAAGAAAATACTTATTCCAAGCAATGCATCTTACACTATGAAGGTAAAAAAAAAAATTCCTATTTTTGCAGGTAAAAGGGACTAGTTTCATAATTCATGGCCTGTCTGAATTCCCCTAGTACATATTCACACAGATCACTAATTTTTCTCACTGGCACATGCATAAGAGATGTTTATTGTCTCTGACTCTTAATATTTCAGGCAAAAGGCACAGCAAGAAACCAGTCCTTATTCACGTCAACATGTTCCTTTTAGCAAAAGTTCGTCAAAGGTTGGTGGAAGAAACAAACGTGGAGTAATTGATCTTGGTGACTGAAAAACCATGTTACAAACTTTACACAAAAATACACCAAGACAAGCAAACTTTCATAAAATTGCATCTATCCTTTCTTACCTGGTCAGTAAGAAAGCAGCATTTAGAAACAAAGCAATATATAAAATACAAAAACCACTCCCTTCTAGATTTTTTGGTATTATATTGTCTTCACAAGCAAATGAATGGCTTTCAATTACCTGTTGATGCTCCTTGTTTTTCCCCCAACAAATGCTGATAGGAAAGACAACAAATAAGAGCACCTCTCCAAATAAACCTTCTGAAAAAGCCAAATATGGAATTTTTGGAACAAAATCAACATAGCAGAAAGAAAAGAATGAGTCAGACTACCAAAGAGCAATTAGTGGAGGGAGGGGAAAAAAAAAAGGAAAGAAAGAAAAAAGTTTGAGATACATGTAGTCAGCTAAGTAAGTTAAAGCTATCGAAATTTTGTCGTTAGCCTTCATCTGAACATCAGCATAACAGATTCTGGAAGCAAAAAAGGCTCCAGGTGAAGCCCCTGCCATAGATCAGGAATTTCGCTCTCCATCACTTCATGATGTTCTAGAAAAAATTTGAACTGAGCACACAAAGTATTTTTAAAGTCAAGCTTTAATGCATTAACTGTAAATGCAGCTCACTATCTTCTTTTTAAGATTCTTAGACTTCATTTCAGCCGCCACTAGTTAGAAGGAGCACATACCCATCTTGCTGCAATAGCCCAAAAAGAAAACACGAAACTCACTGAAACTGATGAAGTGTGCAGGCTTCTAAGACTGAAACAGAGCCCACAGCTAACCGAAGTTACCTTTCACCAACTGTACTGGACACTAAAGCACAGCTGCAAGTAGAAGACAGAGCCTTTTATAAAAAACATACAGGTGTAGAATGAGCATTTCTGCTGAGATGCCAACATCAGAGCATGAGTTAATATATCTGCAGACTCTTTAACTTGAATCCTACATTCGAATTTTTTCAGCAATAACACTGCAAGTGTCTTGCCACAACTGATGTATGAACACTCTGTGAGGACCACGTCAAACAAGACTTTCAAACAGTCACGGTGGCCCAATGAAGAAGCATGGTGCTCTACAGGCCACCACCACCAAACTCACGTTTTCATTACACCCCATGCTCTTATACTCACTGGTTTGGAGGCTTATTAATTCAACAATAAAAGTCCTAGTGAGATATAACAGAAAATGCCACATTTAACGGGAAGGAGAAAGCAAGCCACAGAAGCTGGGCGGGCTCGGACACCTGGCTCGCAGAGCGCTGAGCCGCGGGCCCACACGTGCCGCCGCCTGAGAGGCCTCAGGGGGGAAACAGCGACCGGCGGGGAGCCCAGCCCCGGTGCTAAACCCACCTGTCCGAGTCGGATGAGG